GATTAATTGGCCCAAGCCTGGTACCAACTCTGTCTTCAGAAACAATTCTGCAATTTTCTGTCAGGAAAAGCTCCCACATGTAAGAACACACAGTTCTTCCTGCCTCAGACTGACTCTGACCAGGAAATATTTGATTACTTAATGAAACTTCAGGAAAAATAAAACATTGGGTTGTCTCATGCAAGCTACATGATGATTAATGAAAAAAAAAAAAAGAAAACATGATTGCACTGTACATCTCCTGTCAAATGCACTGAGTCTATGGCTAGGGTGGGGAAGAGTACCTGTTTGAGGAGAATGCAAGGGAGATGACTGATCTCAGCAATATTAGGCTAATTAAAACTCTAATTTTGAAACAGTCTAGTCATGATGATATAGCAAAGCTAGAATTAGATCCTTTGCAAAAAAAGGACTGTCCATGTCTCTCTGTTTTTAAAATAAAAATTCAGCTGCTACCTTTTTTTCCTCATTTTACAGGCATTTTTCAGACAGGATTGTCTGTATTTTTTAAAAGTGGAAATTTTAAGTGTAAATGCTTCATCTCACGGTTAGTCCATATACTTATTGTGATATTTGATAGAGATGTAGAATTCATATTGTTGATTCAGGAAAAGATATTTTAATTCTATTTGACCTCACATTATTTTAAGTAATAGAGATTGAAGGACCTAGATTTTCTAAAATTTAAGAAATTAGACCTGTGGAGCCAACAAGGACAGGATGAGTAGGATGATCATGCTTAGCAAGGGCAGAAATAAGTTAACAGAAAATGTATCCTTGCAAGGATTATGTGATGAACTCATTGTTTGACAGTTTGACACCAAGATTTCTTTGGCTTGAAGGAATTTTTGGAGACAATACACTCATGTCAATTTGTGAATTTGTAGAACAGCCAACGTAGTCCTGAGTTTATCTGTGGCACTTCTATGAGTAGCTTTGTTAGGATGTCTCACGTTGAGCAGGATAAATTTGACAAGCACTAGTTTGTGAGGATACATTAATAGGATTTTCCCTAATCAGAAAAAACAATGCCAAAATCAATGCTATAAAACCCTTAACACACTGAAAAGAATTCCAGCTTTTGCCATCCAAGTTCAAATGAAGTGGTAAAATATATTGGGATAGAGAAGTGGGTTAAGAGGACAAATTTTTCTTATATACTCGATTGTCTGAGGAAATTAATTGGATAATGCTTAGTAAATCACTGTCCATAATGTTCCACAATTAATAAATACTGTGTGACTCAGTGATCTTCTCATTTACACTGATACTTATGCCAGTTAAATTTCACTGATGTTGGTGGAGTAACTCCTGGTGCATGTGAGAAGGTCTTGATGGAGTTGATAACAAGTCAGGTGTAGCTGTTTTCCTCCTTGCTGCTCTTCTGCCACTCCTTGTACTACATTGTTGAATGTCCTGAAAGGAGCGAGGGAAAAAACCCAAGTATTGAATTTAATTTTACAGAATGTTAGCTAGAGCATTTAATATATGCTTGTGTTGAGAGTGTTGCGTATACATCACAGTGAAACCTTTCTACAGCCTAGTCTGATGTTCTTTCTCTGTTGCCACACTGTGATTTTGCCCCATGCCCAGCCTATGATCTGCTGGAGCTCAGAAATCACTTTTTCTTTCATGGCAGGAGGAAAAAGGATGGGCTAGGAGGTCAGATGTGTCGCTAGCCATAGCCGGGTTGAGGTTTTGATGAAACAGATGTTCTGAATTTCTTTGGAAACTTTCCTCAACCTCACCCGTGCCACAGTCTTGTCTTTGAAATGGGGATAGCTCTTTCATACAGCTCAGGGACTTTAGAAGGATAAAACACTAAGGACTGGAAAGCAACCAAATATTGTGGAGTTATATGCCATGATAATGTCACTGCTGGCTGGATTATGGATATCATCTAGTATGGCACTTCCTTTCTTTTTCTTCTCCTTTTGTTATGATAAAGCCTATACATAAAACTGTCAAATAAGAATCCCATGCATACTTACCACACTGACTTTTAACTATGTGTGTTTGAACTAGGAACTAAGTACCAAGGATGATAACACAGCTGTGGCTCACAGTGGGGAGAATGTAGGAAATATCAGCTCCAATAAACCTCCGTCATCCTTCAGAAAGAAGAAGGAAAGAGGGTAAAAAATATTTATATGTGTATATTTAATAAAACCTGAAAGAAGGAAGAAAAATTGTATCAAACTGCTGTTTCTCTGGCAGAAGCTGTAATGCCATCCTTTTCCATTATTCCATACTGCAGGTTTCCATGACAGTCAGTCCCATAGGCAGCAGCATCCTACTCTTAGACAACAGACATAGCAAACCTTAGAAAGGTTTAGAAATCTCCTTGAGAAGCAAAAATGTTATTGTATTTTTCCTGTCTGGAAAAAGGTATAGTTACACAAGCAGCTTTCAGCTGCTAGGATTAGAAGAGGGCAGAGCGACTGCCTACAGGGAGCACGCGGTGAGAAGAGGAGCCTACTTGTCCCTTCTTTTCTTACGTCACCTGAGACTCCGGGAGCTAAAGGTAAAAAACTCAACATAAAATCCGCAGAGATCAGAGTTATTATTTCTAAGAGAGGGGCTGTCATTCAACTGAAAATGCAACTGTGTGTTTGCTCCGGTTTGTTTCAGCGAGTGTGTCTGGGGATCCTTAACTACTTCAGGTCTGTGGAGAGAAGCCTGACCGTCAGTACTGCTGGCCTCTCTTTCAGGGCTGGTCACCTAATTCCCAGTGCAGAAGATACCTCCTGGGTCAGTGCTGCCAAAGGAGGCACTAGTGGTTTTGGTGGCCTGAGTTCACAGCTGTACATTCACTACACACCAACTGACTACAAGGTGAGGTACTGCCTAACGTTTAGTCTTCCAAAACGTGTACGTCAACAGGCCTACCTAACCCAGTTCTCTCTTCCATGCAAGCTATGTTGTGATCAATTGCTGAATCATCCAAGGGATTTCATGTAGCTTGTTCCTCAGAACCACGTGTCTTGCCTTAGCAGATTAAGTACCTGTATCTACCAGCGGTCTGTAGCAAACCTCTGAGAAAACTTCAGGCACGTAGAAGTATAATGTCAACACTGCCTGCCAGATAAACATTTACTTAGACTGGTGGTGCCGGCTGTGATTAAATGAGGACCTTTGTAAGTGTGGGATTATCACACAGAGTAGATGATCCTGAGAAATCCCAGGCATTTTGCAATTTATGGAAGCACTTGTTTAAGTAACTCCTAATGACCTCTAAAATATATCATTTAGACTTAAGTAGAGTTTAGGAACTACTGTTTTTTAACCTTGGATGAGGGCATGTGGCTGAAGTCATATAATTAGTACACTTAGTTTCACAGATTGGAAAAATTTTAATTCAAATTAAATTTCTAAGGTTTATCAAACTTTAGTTTCCACGGCATCATGGTAAAATATACTGAATAGGAGCAATATATCATGCTGAGATTAGTGGTTTGATGTGATACAGTATTTTGTCTTTTGAGCTGTCAAATTTCTTTGCAGGTCTAACGCTAATCCCAAAGTTCTCATGTAGAAAGCCTGAAGACGCATGACTGTTGTAGTCGAGAAAACATTTTTATTGATTAAAGTGGTTAAAGTGGGTATTCACTTAAACTGCAAAGTAGGTATTCACTTAAACTGCGAAGTTAAAATTAAAAACATATGTGCATGAGAAGGTATGTACCAGGGAGTGCTGGAGGAAAGAGGAGCTTCTGGGATGGTAAAAAAATGCTGATGGCATTCCGGGTCCAAGAGGAGAGGCTGGACCCCTGGTACTGTGGTCTCCCAGGTACGTACCAAACATAGGATAGATGTGATAAGGCAAGGGTTAGGTAATAACTCTTCTTTTCTCGCTTCTGCATGCCAAGCTATTAGGTGGAGGTGGGCTTTACAGTAGATCAATACCTTGTATGGGATATTGTGGTAGTGGGGAACCAATCATGGTAAAGGGCAAATTAAAAAGCAGACATTTTATGCATACTTGTATAATCTTGTGAAATGAGCTGTGAAAATGTATGGACCTTGGAACACAATTAGAGGAGCAATTCTCTGTGTTCCCCAGTGTTGTGAATAAAGAAGTGCCTGCTTATCTGCTACTGCATAGGGAAGTTTTTCTCATCGTGATTGCAACCCTGTCAACACGATAGTATTTTAATAAGAGCTTTTTCAACATTTTGATCTCACATTTATTTCTCATTTACTGAAAACTTTTTTTGCTTGGTGGGGGGTTTTTGTTTGTTTGTTTTGCTGTAGAAACACACAGAGCCAAACACAAAAGACACTTCATGGAAGAACAGTGTCTAGAACCAAAAAGGAAGTAGGCTTCCTGCCCCCATTTGTTGCTCATGTTAAGACTTAAAACCGTACCCCACCCCCTAAAAAAAACAAACCAGAAAAAAACCTTCATGTCTCTAAATATGAAAAAATCTAAAACTCTTTGAAACCAAAATGTATGGGGAGGGCATGGAGTTGATGACATTTTTAAGGTATCTTTAGTTTTATTTCTAATATGGCCATGTTTATCTTTTAAAAATCCAATCAATTAAAATTCTTAAATGGAAAGCTACTTGGAACTAGAAAATTGTGGTTTCCCACTTAAGAAAAGTTGAACTGGGTGGTCCAGCATTTTTGAATTTTCAAGCCAGAAAAAGTAATGAAAAAACTTATGTTTTCCAATGGGAGGTGTCAGTTTTCTGTGAAGTAGACATTGTGACAAAGTCTTTTTCTGAACTCTGTATAATATACCTTTCTTTTCATTCCTTTTTTTTCTGTCATAAAAGAAATGATGCAAAGATCAATCCTGACCTTCCATCTAAGCACTCTCTGTTCTGGACATCAGCTGTGAAATACTTCAGAGTGCCTAGCAATGAGAGAGACATTTCAGAGTGGCCTCTCTTTCCCCTGGACTAATATGTAGATATAGATATATATATGCTTGAATTTCAACTAAAGCCTAGATAAATATTTACTAATCCTATTACAGTTTAATTGGCAAAAAATTTAGAAGCAGGGACAACAGTATTTTCTTAACAACAGTTTCCAATGTGTTGGGGGGGAGGTTTGTGTTTGTTTTTTGTTTGTTTTGTTTGGATTGGTTTTTTTTAATGTACTGCACAGACTGTCTCTTAAGAACTGAAACAATAATAAAGCTGTTTTACTGGCAAACTGAAACTTACCTAACATACTCCCTGGTGTGTGCTATAAACCTCAATTGTATGGAATTGTTTTTAAATACTTTTAGCATCTAATCTATGCCCAAAATTGGAGGAGTACCCGTGTTATGACTCTCTCCACACTGGAAGCTGTGAGCCCATGTAATGGCTCAGCTCACACTGTATCCAAAACTGGGATTCTGAGGCAGTTTTGCAGCCTTCCTAGCAGACTGCTTGGGGTGGAGATCATCAGAGGCATGAGTTTCAATGACAGAAGACCCTCAAAACAGTGCATTACGTTAAATTAAAACTCTTTTCTGTCCCCTATTGAGATTCAGCTTGGAAGAAAGTAAATAAAATATATGTAGGTGCATGGGTGTTGCTTTATAACCCAAAAGGGATTTGTTATGTCCTAGTAAACCTGAGAAGAAAAGCCAAAGCCTGCAGGCCAAAAACATTGCATATAAATATCCAGTTACTTGATTTTTTGCTATAGACATATAAATGGGTATTAACATTTTTTATAGGGACAGGTGGTATTTAGAAGGCTTGAGTAGTCTCTTTAAAATATGACTCCGAAAACAAACATGAAAGGGAGAAAGTGTTTATTTCTTTTCGGTTTTGTTTTGTAAACTCTCCAGTTTTGTAGTCTCATTCTCCTTCTGCAGAACACAGTAATCTTGACTGAGATTTCAAGAGCAGGAATTTTTAGAGGAATAATCACCGGAAAAAATTCAAGAGCTTGAAAGTGGAGACATTTCAGTGAATGTTCTCCATAAGGATGTTTAAAAACATAACTAAAAACCCCTTCTACTTGCTGTTGTGAAGTCAGCCCAGTATTTGCTCAGTTGTTTACCTAAATGAAGTTGAATTTAATTCTTCTACAAAGATCTTTGCTTAAACCTTTAGTAAATTTTGCACCCTGTCACTAAGAGCCATGAAACAAATAGTCTGTTTAGAAGAATAAGGAAAGAACAGAGAGTACAGAACACCGTATCAAAAAAAGGGAAGGAATCTGAGCAGACTGATCCAACATTATGTTCAAATTAGGCGTACATTTTGCACGGCTGCCTCATTAGCTTTATGATAAAGAATGAATTCTGATCCAGCATAGATATGTGAAGCTGCCAAGCTGTTCTTCCCAGCACGTTTAAATTTGACTAAGATTTCCATGATTAAAACAAGTACATATTCCTTTCCTCCATCCTTTCTCTTAATGAAATTTGAGACATTCGGGGATTAGCAGGTGAGGTTTGGGTAGCACTGGGGATCTTGTAAGGGCAGATGTTAGGGGAACTAGTGAAAGAAGGAGGTCCCAAGACACTGTGCATCATTATTTGGCACTGAAGTGAGAACAAAGGTGCATTACGCACCAGTAAGTAGCAAAAACAAACAGTGGAAAATAAGAAGCTTGTATTTGCTTGCTAGCTTCTTGCAAGAAGCAGCACTTTTGAAGGTTTCTATGGTTATACCCCCATACCAAGTGTTTATTTACACTTAACTTTTGTAGTCGTACACCTAGAGATAGATGTATGTAATTCCTTTTGAGGCATTCCTAGTCAAGAAATAATATTTTGAAAGCTAACGCCACTTCTGCTGACTGCAATACTGAATTCTTGCCTGGGGTGTTACCAAGCTAACTAGTGACTCACTGCCAAGGTAGATGATTCTCTTTTAAAGACACTGACTTTTTATTTTAATTTTTTTTTTTTTAGAAAAGTAAGGTCATTGTTAAACTATTCTATTGAACAAGTGCTGATGTTACAGCAATTTGGGACATGAATGAACGGGCGTTCCTTTTAATTAGTGCTAAAGTCTTTGTGTCTGTGAGCTAATCTTGAAATCTTGCAAGTGTAACTCACCCAGGAAGGCTTCAAAAAATATGCTGACTTCATATTTGAATGTCAGAATTTAAGACACTTTTTGCCAAATCTGAGCTAAATTAGAAAAAGTGAAAAGAGCTGTGTGTTAGTTCAAAAGCTGATCTTCTCATTTTGATGTCATGTTGGTGCTTTTTGTGGATTTATATGCCTGAAGGAAAAACTAGGCATAATAGGAATTTCATAGAGCTTGTGTTACTCCATTATAGTATAAATGAAGACACAGTGTACATGTTGCCTGTAAAAAATAATATCTTGGCAATATTTTACTTCATTGTTCATTGTTAATGACAAAATACCATGCTCCTAGGCCAGGTCCACCCTTAAATGTGTTGATCATTCAGAACTGCAGTCCTTGCAGAGCTGGCTGCTTGTATCTCTGTGTCTCTTTTTTCATGGTGTAGGTCCACAGCGCTCAGTTCATGGAGTTTATGGAGATGGAAAACCATGATGACTTTCACACTAGTGAAGATGGATATATTCACACTCAGGACCAGCAAGGGGTTTTCATAATATATGATGTGACTTTAGAGGACCTGAGGGAGCTTGAGAACTAGCTGCTACTTGTGGCCAGCCAGTACATTGAGAAGGATAAAAGTAAGATATCTACAAGTCCAAAAGAACCTATTGTAATTTGTTTTGCTGTTTTCGTGGTAGGCTGATCCTATGACTTCTTGAATCAATGCTGTACATCTGCAAGACCAAGTGCTGGCTGGATTTTTGGGACCTCTCTTTATCCTCCTAGTTAGCCAAGTGATGAATGTGTTACAAAGACCTAACTGAGCATGAGAAATTGCTTGTCACATGTTGTTAATGTCACAATTTTGCACTTATTCAGGGTCATAGACATGAAAGTCATCCTGGAGGGGAAAATAACACAGAGGTGACTTTTACTGATGTATTTAAGTAATATAATGAGCAAGCACATCTTCAAGGCACAGAGAGACAGTCAGAAAAGAAAAACGTTAATTGCTTCTGAATGTCTTTTAATTAATGTATTGGATTGCTTTTCTGCAGAACTAAATTTACCTCCCACCACTTTTAAACTTTTCTCAGTTGTAAATAAGAAACTGCAAAATATTTGATGTTCCAGACTTCTTTTTTTCCTGCTGCTTTTTTTTATAGTAGGAACTGAGTTGCGACAGGCTGTTTTACAGATTTCTGAAAAGAGCAGCTGTACTTCTAGAATAGAGAGGAAGAAGCTTGTAATTGTAGAAAGTATGGGGGCAGGGCCATTAGAAAACAGTGAATAAATGGTACAAACACACATCATATTCAGACAATTGCACAAAATATATCTTAAGATACTGGCATTACTTTCTGTATTGATAGGATAATGTTTTTGATGTTCTAGTATGCTTCCCTAAAATTCGATGTTCTGACATAGGATGCAGGGCAGAGCTCAGGATTAAGATGACCAAAAACATTTATAAACCTGTGAATGCTTATATGCCTGCTAGGACCCCCTTTGAAGTAACCTGAAGGTTGTCATTGTGGATATTTTTTCTGTAGCATCTTTCTTATGAGAAGAGGCTGAGAGAGCTGGGACTGTTCTGCTAGGAGAAAGCTCAGAAGGGATCTAATCAGTGTGTGTACATAGCTGGTGGGAGGGAATGAAGAAGGAGGAGCCAGACTCTTCTCAGTGGTCCCCGGTGACAGGACCAGAGGCATTGGGCACAAACTGAAACACATGAAATTTCACCTGAACACATGAAAACCACTTTTTTTTTTACTATGAAGGTGGTCAAACACTGGAACAGGTTGCCCAGAGAGTTCTGTGGAGGTATTAATAAACCTGCCTGGACACAGTCCTGGGCAACCCACCTACATGACCCTGCTTGGGAGCAGGGGCTTTGGCCAGGTGACCTCCAGAGATCCCTTCAAACTTCAGCCATTCTGCAATTCTGTCATTACAGGAGGCAGAGTACTGAATGGGTCTGGTGTAGCAGTTCTGGTGTTTGTAGGTCACCTCATTATCACCCTCACACAGTACACTTGAGGATTGATCATTTACAACCTGTCCTAGCTCCTTCTGTTCCCTCTTGTTATGGTCTCTTTCTCTGTGCTATGGACACAAAGGCTTTTAGTGCTGACTTCTTCAGTGATCATGGACTTCAAATGACTCTCTTGTTCTGCTTTTGAGAAATAAGACACTTGAAGTCTGGAGCTGAGGAGTAGCTGCTGAAGCCTCTTCTATTTACGCAGTGGCTGAATTTTTAACTTTGCAGCTCTAAACATTTCAGTTTCGCTCTACTTGATTTATCATTTATTGTCAAAATCAGCTCTAATTTAGATAGTATCACAACCAAGAAACCAAAAGCATAATTTCTTTAATGTTTTCTCACTGGCTACTAGTGTAGAAACATTTCTAGTGGTATTTTTTTCCCTTCTTTCCTTCACAGTAATTTTTAAATTATGAAGACTGAATTTTCTGGTAGCAAACCATCTGAAAAGAAAGCCCTCCCCTGGGTCTGCACTCTGCCCTACTATCTCTCTTTGTAAAATTTACCTTTGAGTAATCCGTGCCACTTTTCTTTGATCTGAGAGTGAAGGTGAAGAGGTGAAGATGAGCCCAATATGATTGGTCCTGTGAAAAATGAAGCTTTTCTTCACTTTCCTCCCCTAGTTTTCTTATGCTTTCACTGGCTTTGTCTCTTGATGTGGGTCTTTTGAACTCCAGACATTGTCCTTTATCTCAAGCAATATTTGTTAAAAGATGATGGATTTAAAACAAATGCCTGGTGCACTTGCTTTTTGCCTTGCAGAATACTGTGGAGCTCTCCAAAGCTTATGGGAATTGAAATATTTTCCTGGCCTGCAGTTCCCTGGCAAGCAAAAAGCACAACCCTGTACTAGAAATAAAAAGAATTATCACAAGCTCTGGGACTCTAGGCATGTGGAAATCCCTCTGATACTGACATCTGCTTGTATTCTACTTATTTTTTTTGTCTTAGGCGAAGCGACTTGTGAGCAATTCAGTGACAGCAACATCCTTGGCTCTGTGGATCAATGTGCTGTGCTGCTTGACCTCTGGACCTGTGAAGCTGCTTTCTTGGAAAAAAAATACCAGGTACAAAAGCTTTTCTTGGTTTGGAAATGGTGATTTACAATCAGTTCACTTCAGGTTGTGTAAGGTTCCCTTTCAACAGCATTTCCCATTGTGTATACACATGGATGCCAGAGCCAGCAACCATGTGTCTGCATTTTACCATGAGATGTGAAAGCATACAGGGTTTCTGCCCAAAGACTTCAGTCTTGAAAGATGAAGATCAGAGAAGTTCAGAGGAAGGGACCCAGAGGGGCTTGGAAACGTACATCTGTCTATGGGACTCACCAGTCTCATAGGGACAGGAAGTGAAAGGAGCAGATGGTCCACTTCAGAAGCAGGGAGGAATGGCATTAATTGGGGTTGTCTTCACACACTTGAAAAGTTTTGTTCTCGGTCCTGGAGTCACCCAGGGCAGCTCTCAAAATAGGAATGCTGGAGGGTGTTAGGGAATCTTCTGTGTACCACTGAAGAGGCTTTAAATAGAAAACCATTTAAATGAAAATAGTTGTATGTTAGTTTAGGAAATCTCCTAAGGCCACTCTCCTGTTTTGATAGAGGGCCTTTACAGAGCTCTATAAAATCCTGTCTAATTGCCTAGTTCACTAAATTTCTGCTCTCATCCCAATAGACTTTGCTTTGCATTGCTGTATGATCACGCTACCTCTGTGAATCTACCTTTTATTTTTATCATGAGTCTTCCATTTAAGGGAACTTGCCTTCTTTTTGGAAGAAAAACTCCCACTAGAGAAGAATGAAACTTCTTCCAGAACAGCTTGGGTCAGGCCAGTCAGGCCAGTCTACATGAGAGTACTTGACTTTTTCTATTGAAATCTGAATTCTCAGCTACCAAGTTATCTCCTAAGCCCTCCTGCATCTTCTTCTTCCACAGTCTCAGGATGCAAAGTAATGCGAATGCTTTTCAATATAAAATAGCCAGATGTAGGTAATTTCTTACAGACATGACTGATTTGTCCAGAAGCAAGAGCACTGACTGTTCATATTTTAAATCCCCTAGTTGCCATCTGACCAAAAAGCACTACAGTGTCATCTCGAGAATTCACGTGCTTTCACGCTTGATACATTTCTTTTTCTGTCCTAAGCTGTGTAATTAAAAAATTTATTTAAATAAAACTTTATAGTTATTCTTGGTAGAGGAGCCTGAAGAGGGCATGCGTCTTTGTAGATCTTTAATTACATCTTCAATTAATTTGGAGTTTCTCCAAAAAATGTAAATTAACTGTGACAGTCATTGCTAAATGAGATAACGGTAACTCTTAGATGAGTCTGCAGGTTTCAGGTTGGGGGAAATGGAGTTTTTCAAAGATATAAAACCAGTGTATGTGCTGGAAAAGAAACAGAGAATGGATTAGAGTGGTAAGAAGTAGCTTATTTTTAAAGTAGTTAGTACATTGCCTTGTTACTTTTTGAAGGGAAAAATGTGCAGAATAAAGATCTTCCTGTTTCATTAGAAAAAATATTAACAATGCAAGATTTGGAAGAAATTTCTTATATGAGCAGTTTATTCTATATTTTGTTCTTAGGCCTTTCAGTGAAGCATTGAGTAATATCCTGTGCCAGAAACAAATGCCATGCCAGGTCACTGTTGGTTTGATAGGTGGCAAAACCCATGCTCAGAAATCTCTCCCCAACAAAGAATGAATACTTGGATGAATAAACATTTCTAAATGTACTTCTGAATATCTTTTCAGCCTCTAGACGTTTACTTTGAAGCTTACCAACATGCTTTGGATCCTGAGGAAAGGTTTGCTTTGGCCCAAGCGATAATTGACGTCATGCATAAACGTCCACGGCTTGATCTCAAGCTTGACTATTTTGTCAGCACCTGCAAGGATGAATGCATCTGTTTGCAACTTCACCTCCAACTGCTGAGGGACATAGTAGACCGACAAGTAGGTTGGATTTACAGTATATCTATCCTGGGAGATGAAATGGAACAAGAAGCTTTGGTTATAGCCTGTATGGATTTACAGTGTCAAAATGGGTCAATACAAATTTAACAATGAATTCTATGGATGCTTTGTAAATCGAAGGCCAGAAGCTTAAGAGACTTCTTCAATTTCAGAAAGAAATTGTTGGAAAGATTGCAGAGCTTCCTTTGTCATGTTAAAGTCACATCTGCTACCATTTGAGACAATTAGAAATAGTGGGTGAGAGGCGTGGAAGGTAAATAAAATAATAATCTCTATTTGTTCTGTAATACAGAGGATAAGGAACTAGTTCTGTTTATAGTAAGGGAGAAGAGACTTTAAAAAGAATATAACCAAAGCTTGTACTTTAAAGTGCTCTTTGAAAAGCAGTACATTTCAGATAGCTGTGAATTCCTGTGCTAATAATTAAAGCAAAACATTTAAAATTCTCACATTTTTCCTCTAGCTTAAAAGTCTGCCTCAGATTTCCTCTGTATCCTACCACAAGATATTTCCTTTCTCTGAGCTTTGATTTCAGAGGTAGCAAGCTGGGAAGTTTAATTTGCTAATCTTTGTAACTTGGCTTTTAGTCCACGAACGGAAGTTTGGGTTTTGGTACAAGAGGCTACTGTTACGCTGGTGTTGCCACTAATTCTACCATATTGCTAGCAATAAAAAGGAGCCTTGTCAGCATCATTGGAGCTCAAATTTTCTTCTTAAGGAATATGAAAGATTCAACATAATTTTAGCAGGAATAATCCATATATACATATATATTTGACTTGAAAATTTATGTATATATAAATTTACATTTTTGTAGCTTATGTTTAAACAAAGAACAGTTGGTTTTGCCTTGATTTCTAGCTATGCGTGAATTGTGCAGGTTAATGTCACTTGTGTTTACTGCTGAATTTTAGATAGATGCCCAGAGGGAATATGTCCAAAAGATCTGGCGGGAAGGTCAGAAAGGTGGCATTGGTGAATTTGGACTTCCTTATAACGTAATTACTAAGCAGCTTATCTCTCTTAACACTAGTTGGTGAGTAGTTATACAGTTTTATTTTTCTGAAGAGTACTTCTTTCTGTTTTAGCTTCTGTGATAGATTGTAAAAATTTTGGATCCAGCACCTGAGAATAAGACTCTTTGAAACAATGCCAGTCTTAAGGTGAATCAAGCAATAGGTGAGTCTAATGTTTCTTAGTCTCACACTAGTTAGGCAGACAGGAAAACATTCAAAGAAGAAAAGTGATACTTCTCCCACTGCCTTTGCACTGCACTTGCATGACAGTGGATTTGATAACTACATCTTGCAGTGCACTGGGACATCAATATTCCTATGGATACAGACTATTAAACAGTAATGATGAAAGTGGGTACTGAGGTTAGCCTTGCTCTAGGCTCACTGTGTCAGTATCCTGACCCACCTTCATGCCTTTCACTGCCCTTTGACCACAGTTTGTTACTCTTTTGAGCACACCTGTTGGATGTACGTGTACTGTGGTTTCACAGGTGGAATCCATACATTGCCTGCAGTACAGACCTGCCCCATGCTCCCCATCCTGCAGCTGTGCAGCACTGTGAGTTATGGAAGGGTTCACATACCAGCTGATACACACTCAGAAGCCAAGAACCCCTTGCCTGTGGTCCCTTCTGGTTTCCTGCCTCTATCTCAAGCCCCTTGGCCCTATTCTTCCCTATTCTTCTTTTGATTTTGTGTTGGCTATCTATCTGAGGGCTTATTTTCAAGTGCAAACAGTTTTAATGGACAGGCATAATAGACACAAAAATGCAGTTAATAGGACATGTCAGGTAACGAAAGAGAATTTTAAACATTTTCTGTTTTCATTAGCAAATGAGACTACTTAGTTGTGTTCCAACATAATTATGTTATTTAAGGCTTCAGTTCTAGTCTCTGATTTGATGATTGATTTCTGATGTGGGCTAGAGTCTTTGTAATTTATTCCTGCAAATAAAGCAATTGCAAGGTTCCTTTGTATATACGATTTAGAAAAGCCTTATTTGAGAGCTATTTATTCTTTCTTTGTTTTTGTTGTTTTTAAGTCCTACTTTTAAGAACAATTATTTGTTGGAGTTTCACCCTTCTCTTGGTTTGGTGTGCTTGATCCTCAAAGTTCTTGAGTATATCTACCAGGAATTCTACAGCATCTGAAGACCAAAAACAGCCAGTAAAGCAAGTAATCTAGAAAAATGAGTACTTCAGCTAGTCATTGATGAGTGGCTAACTATGGAAAAAACACAAACTTTTTACAGTTCTCAGATTCAAAAAGATATAAGTTCTATTCTTATGTTACTAATGACTCTTCAAAGCAGAATGCCCAAGAGTGTGATCTTGCTAGTTCATTTACACTTACTGGTTAAAGTTATAGCTATGTGATTGTTAAATTAATTACTTGCTTATGATTGGTGAAAACGCATTCCATCAATTATTAAAACAAGATTTTTTTCTGTAAATGCACACAGAAAGGTAGAACTCTTGATCTCTTGCCAGTATAAAGTAGAAGCAATCAGCTTAGTGAGAAGGAAAATACACATACTTAAAACTGATGTGAGATCATGGTAATTCTCCAAGTTTTGTGTCTCTGTATGTGTGTACAGTCTAAAGAAAAAAAAGACTGGACATTAAAGCAAATATTGTTATAGATAGAGGCAGTTATTACTGTAACGTTCACCATTTCCTGGCGCAGAACTCTGAATTTGGTTGGTTGTAATTTTGATAAATGCTAATTATTGTGAATGAAATTATTGATGCTGGATGTCCCTGTCAGGTTGATTTTTTTTTAAACTTATTCAGCTTAGTTTTTTCTGAGAGCAAGAAATGGAAAATAAATTATTGTATCTGTTTTCTCTATGAGATTGTAATACAGCTATGCTTTGAAGCATACATGTCAAGTTTGGGAAGGCTCATTAGGTAGTGATATGCTATGCTTTCATTCCTGCCATTGGTCAGCATAAACTAAAGTTAAATATGCTATTGCAACTTACTCAGTAGGAAGACATCATCTGTGTGCCCTGGTATATCTATGACCTGAGGCAGATCAGGACTTACAAATGCAGTAGTAGCTCTGGTCTAAATGATCCATGTTTGATTTGGGTCTGAGCACTTAAAGTGAGTGCGAGGAGCTGTTAGCCTGCACTGTCACTGATGTTGCCTTCACTGGAGGCAGCAGAGGAAGCCAGCTCCGCAGATTGCAGGGGAGATGAGGCAGCTCTGTTAGTGGAGCAGGAGCTGGGCAGAAGTATGGAGGAAATACAGCTGAGTTGGTAAGTGGGATAGCAGCCAGTAAATGGGAATGAAGATTGAGGTAGATGAAAAGGTGAGACACACAGACAAGGGCTAAGACTCAGTGGGTTCTTTACTTTTGGAAGGAAAAGATATGGGGGAAAAAGTGTACGGCAAATTGGGGCTGGGGCAAGAAGGCACTTTAGGTCAGGGTGGAGGGTTGAGAATGGTTTGGTAAAGAGAGTGGTTCAAGCTGTCCAAAACCAATGTCAGCAGGACTTGCTAATCCAGGGAGTGGGGATGAAAATGAAAAGGTTGAGGCACGGAGGCAGAACTGGTTAGATGAAGAGACTGTGGTGGGTCAGAAAGTATAGAGGCAAACTAAAGGCAGAAGGTCACAGCCACCTGATATACTCCCCTCCCTGACCTAGAGCAAAACCCAAAAACTACTTATCCAGTGTCTCTCTGCTGTCAATAAAATCCACTGGCAGTGTTTCATTACTCTCTTGTCCAGAGCAAATGATTCTTTGCTTTTAAATTTTAAATCCTAGAAGTCAGTGGCAGAGTTCTGTGATGGATCTTAAAGTTATCACACTGCTGTTGCCAAAGGGAAAGGGAGGCGTTTTGTTGTGTTTACTTCCTGCCCATTCCTTTTCCTCCAACAGAGGCTGCAGATGAGGCAAACACACGCAAGCAGATGATGTTTAGAAGACACTAAGGTTGTAAATGTCAAGCATTTAAATTTTAGGAAATTTACTTTTGCTAGAGCAGATTTCATTTGTTTTCCTTTTGCATAGGCATGATGATGCAGTCTTTACAAGATCCCATATTGTTTTTCTTAATGACCTGCTATGCTAAAATCAACATTTCTGTCCTTCCTGGACTGTTCCTTTTGTGACCCTGGACTTCATTCTTTCATGTTTTTCCAGCCCTTCACTAAGGACGGTTTTACAAGATCTGATTTTTATTTCCCATCTGACTTCCAACTTGTCTTTCAAGTTCATGATAAACGGATTACCCAGCGGTGAGGTACAGATGCTGCCAGCCTGGGAACAGGTGCTTTTCCCATGAAGTAATATCAGAAAGACCTTATAAAAAGAAAAGTGAATTCTGGAATTACAAGACTAAATGATCCCTGGGAAGCTGTGATATCCTCCTCTCTCACCCCAAGCCAGGATCAGCTATGCTTAAGTTACTCCCGTAAGTAGCTGTCCTGTTCTCAAACACATAATGTAATAGTCTTTTCCAAGCAAGCTGTTGTGGTGCTTCAACAGCTTCACCATTATCAAGTTCTCAAAGTCTAGCACAGTTCTGCCTTGCTACAGTCTAGGCTGTTTACCTCTTCTCTTGTCCTCCTTGGAGATATGGAAGATACTGTTTGCTTTGTAGCAGCTCTGTGAAGAAGCTCGTAAAGATGGGTTGTCTTGTCCCACCCATCCAGAGTCATAGAATTACAAAAGCACATTGTAAAGTATTAAGGAAGAGGGACAAAATAAAGTTGCACAACTTCAGACACTTAACTTCAGGGTGTTGTCTTTTAAAACCTTTTTTTTTTCTTTTTTTCCCAGAGGGGCTGTGAAGATGTAGTGAATGGCAGGTATTGAAATCTGGACGGTTATTAGTAATGGCTGCATGGCCGGGTTCAGATTTCCTCATGATCTGTGATTCCTTGGTCATGAACAGCAACTCAGCTGTAACAGTGGGCACATCTGTCCTGCCTCATATGAGCAGGGTGACACAGTTGTACAAGTTGTGACAGCTTGAGATAAGAAGCATCTTCTCCTGCACACAGAGCCAGAAGCTGTTCCTGCCACCAATTCCACAGCACAACAGCCAATGGACCGTTATCTTCTTTCCAGCTCTCCACACTGCCAAGCTGCAGCTTTTGATAATTTTTCTTTCCTGGGGTTTCTGCTTTTTTGGAGGCTTTCACCCTCCCAGTAGAAAAGGAGTCCAGCTCTGCTGAGTTAGCTGACGCACATGAGTTTACTGTCCCCATTTTGGGAGCATCATACGTACAGTGGGACATGTGCTGGGATCTGCATGCTCTTTAGAGGAGGAATGACCTCAGCTAGTAATAACTGAACCAAGTTACAGAGCCCCTGCTTTAGAGAGGTATATACATCTGAAAACCTTCTGAATTTTGATTATGATAAAAAATAAAAAAATATTGTGTTAGACATAAAAAATAACTAAAATAAACTTTGTTAAGTCCTTCAAGTAAAGCCAGGTTTATAGTTTGAATGTCTTTACCTTCAAAGCAAGTAGCAAAACACCACTTAGAGGTTGGGATAGATCAGGGCAGGCTCAATTCTGACCTTGCATGGGTTGCAAGTGAGAAGCAACTCCAGTCATTATTTACTCCAGAAAAATAAAAAGGAGAATGGTCCCCTAAAGTATTTAAAGGTCTTTGTCAACTTGATATAAATTATGTATCTGTTTCTCTTTTCCCCCCCCTTTCTTTGCAGTTATTTGCTGAGGTACTGATAGAAGACCCTTTGCTGGTGCAAGAGATTGCTTTGTCACTATTAGAGGTGGGAGCAGACCAAGAAAAAAAGGCAGACAGAGAAAAACAGCTTTTTATGCTGGATTCCTTCGCCACACTCCTGGAGCTTGTCACGCTCCGGCCTCAGCTGATGGAGGTGGCAACAGAGAGCACGCAGTTAGCCAGGTTAGTGGGTTGGTAGTGCCATTTTTGTTATGTTGACCTCAGAGAGGTGTGGCTCGTAGGGGAAAAGTAACTTCATACAAAAGTTACAAAAGTAACCACCTACTACAGCTGGAAAAAAAACATATATAGAGAGAGTGCCTGCATCTGTGTTATGGGAGACAGGTATGCTTATTATGTGGAGATGGAGTCTACCTGGGGTTTGCAGATGTTCATTAGATTCAGAAGTTGAGGCCACACTGATCCTCAGAACTTAACAGGAGAGGCCCTTTCCCAGTGAAAATACTGAAAATGTGTCAAAAGGAGGAGGAATAGGAGGAATTCACTGATCAAATGAACACAAAGGTGCCGCCTTCTGCAAAGTTTTACACAGATCATTATTTTAACTGCCTTCTTATGAAGAGTAGTGCAGTACAAGAAAAGGCACACAAAAAGCACAAGCTTTGTTCACCACCAGAGAGTGTAAAAATTGTTCTGACTACGCTGATGCTTGCAAAGATAATGAAATCATCTACACAAGGGATGTCAGTGCATTTAGAGAGTTATCAGCTGGAGAAGATGACAATTTCTACAGAAGACAAGATAAGGACTCAGCTAATGGGGAAACTACAAAGGATAGTGGTGAACTACTGGCTTGGAGGCAGGTTATTGGTGCAGTTCCTATTGTTCAGCTCCATGTTACTTGACATTTTTATAAATAATCTCAGCAGAAGACAGAAGAGAGTGTTATTAAAGTCAGGACATTGTAGTGCTGGCAGATAAAACTGATATGGAAAATAAATGGAATATCTTACAGGAAGAACTCACAGTTCTAAGAGCTGCAGTAGCAGAAAGGAGATAAGCATAAATAACACAAAGCCTAAGGTTACACATAATAATAGGAAACTCTCCTGTGAACTTTGAGCTTATTTGTTCGAAGCAACAGAGGAGGAGAAAGAACTTGGTGTAGAGCTGGCCATTGGACAACTGTAAACTGCCAACACATTGCATTACAGAGGGAAACCCATAATATCTGACTAAGAATCAGGCAATGAGTTGTGCAGCCAGTGGAGAGAGAGGGGGAGAATTGATGTTGTGTATGTGATTCTGGTGAGGCCTCACCTGGATCGTTAGGTATAATTTGGAGATTTGTGTTCAGGCAAGATAAAGTCAGATTTGAGTGGGAGAAAAGGTGATCTAATAGCATGCTGAGGGGACACAGAGAACACATTTTACAAAAGTAAATGAAATATCTTGGCTTGTTTATCCTAGCAAAATGGAGGTTGGGAGAAGATAAGATTGTTCTCTATAAATACACTGGGAAGATAAGCGCTGGGAATGGAGAGAAGCTATTTAAGCTAAAGGCCAATTTTGGCAGCAGAACAAATGGATCTAATAACTGAATAAATTTAAGCTGGAAATTAAAAGAGGATTTCTAAGAATCGGACTACAAGGTTCTGGAGGGGAGAAAACAAAGGATAGAAAACAATCAGTTTTTAAATGGGTCTTGATTAATTTATGAAAAAGATTTGTGGGACATGATTGCTTGCAATAGCAAAGTTGGGTGCGCAGGATAGATGACATTCCAGTTGTGGGTTTTCTTTGTCTTAACCCTGTCTCTAGCTTTCTTCATGAAAATTTAGTCTGAATCAAAGTCAGGAGCATTTATTTTCAGCAGAGGTAATTACACAGAGCTCTTTGTTTTAAGATCTTAGCATTTATTTTGGCTGTGATCTGTAGGATTATTGATTGATGCTCATGGTGTCTTTCACATATTATTTTATCTCCTCCCCTTAGCTTTCCCATACTTTGCAGGCAGGGAATGCTAGGTCCTATTTGTGTCTTTATCACATTCTCACAACATAGCTCCTCTGTGACCTGATTTCTTGACTGATGAAACACGTTAGGAAGAAGCAAGGGAGTATCTTATGCCTTTGCAGTCTGTATCAAAAAGTCAAAGTCTTTCTTTTTACCATCTTCTTATACTACATGAGAAGAGCCATCACAGACCAGATCAGTATTTCTGTGGTCTTGCATCTAAGGAGTGTAGGGGTTGATTCATGGGGAGCGGATACAGAAAGCAGGACAGTGCCCAACTTCTGGCACTTGCTGCTTTAGAGATTTCCTGCACAGGTGGTTGCATGTAGACCATGTGTTTACTGTCTGCTGATGGACTGCTCTCATAATTTGTTATATTGGAGAGGTTGTACTGGGGTTATATCATACTGGGAACTTCTAGAATAAGTAATTTTTAAGTTATGCAGTCACTGTTTTAATAGTAATAATGTAAATGAGCACTGCTTGTCTATTGAAGCTTCTTCCCTGGCAGTGGATTCTCCTCCTCATTTCTAGTCTAAAATAATGCCAAATACAGTCCTTTCTAAGTAGGAACATTTAGCATACTTCCCTTGATTTTCCCATGTGACATTGTAGACTCACAACTTACTGTCCTTTGTTTGTAAGTGCTGTCTGTGTCAGTCAAATGGGTGATACTACGAAACCCTCAGCTATCTGGGTACAACACTTGTTTGCTTCATACCTGTCATACTATTGCAGATGCCAAGAAATGTTTTAAGTTGAACGCAGATGTCTCATTGAAATGAACCTGATGGATGTAGGTTTCTAGATGTGTACTACTTGCAGCAGGAAGAAAGTTAATTTTTCAAATGTATCCACGTGCTTTTGTTTCTAGGTTATATAAGGCTTTTGCAGTGGAAGGAGTTTTTGGGGAGTCCCATTTATACCTGGGGCCTGTGCACTTTGAATCTACATCTCACAGGGAGAAAGCAGACCCGCTCCCACCAGTATTCATTACATTTCTCCTGGAAGATGACAGCTGTGTTGACAAGTAGACTGAGCTTTTTTGTGTTTCTTTTTAGATTGGATGGGACCAAGTCTTTAGTTTGCTTAGACTAACAGATAATCCACAAAAAATTCAGCATGTAAAATACACAAAATTATTCAGGCAAAAAATGTAAAATGTTGCATGATTTGTTTCCTTTTTGTATAGAGTCTAGGATTGAATAATTCTAATTTAAAGCTGTTGGGCAGTGAAATCCCACAGATTCCGAATTTGTGTGGAAAGCTGGCAATTTTGGAACTAAAGTGCATTTTCTTTTAAAGTGAGGTGTGCCTAATGGGGCTGGCCTGAAAGTGATTGCCCCAAACCCTACAGGTAGCAAAATGAGACCTCAAATACTGTTGTGAATAAAATTCTCATTCTGAGTATGAACAAAGCTTTTTCTCCTAGAGTTATACTGTGCTTCATGAAGTGGCATTTTTGGTCTTCGTTTTTCAGTTCAGTGACTAGTAGACCCAATGTCTGCACAAGGCAAAGACTATCTATTATCTTGCTTTTTCTTTTACAGTTGCCTTGATTTACTCTTTAAAGAGTTGGTAAATATGTGCATATATATATACACACACACATAAATACACCAGTCTGTCTCTGTGTGTGTGTGTGTATGTGCGTGTGTTTTAGATCAAGGTTTAAGATGGAGAAAGGAAACAGCCTGTGCATTATCTTGCTAGATTCAGGTAGGGCATCCTGTTCGTTGTTCCCTATGGCTAACACGGGCAGCAGGGCTCTCTTTCTACCTGTATGCATACAACCTGCAGTCCTGTGCTGTTGTTTGCATCCTACTCACAGGTATACACTATAGCCTGTGAAAACCGGGCTGTTCCAAACAAGTTTAGCAATTGCGAGCAATCTGGAATGTTACTTCAGCTGCTAATTGCATTGGGGCAGTGATAGACATCAGAGCCCAAAAGACAATACAGCAGCACAGAAAAACCTCATTAGGAACCAATACTTGAAACAAGGCATGATTAAACTGAACAAGCAGATTTTTCACTGGTTTAGACCAAGCTCATCTAGGAGGAGCTAATGAGCCACTGTAAAGTCAGTCACAAAGCATCACGAGAATATATACTTTTTGTTACAAAACTACTTTTAAAAACTAGACCAACGTCCTAATATGACTAAATTAGTGACTAGAGTGACTAATTCCATTATGTGTTCTAAATTTAAAGGGGAAAAGAAACAAAAAGTATTTCTGAATTTGTCAGTCTTTTCCTTTCATTCTCAGTTTGGCTTCTTTCCGTGTCATACTCTGTGTTTATATATAATTTTGCTTTTATTGCACATATATTCCTTCTAGCTTACCATTAAGCATTCAAGAAATTGACAGCCATATTGGAAAGTTTAGTTTCCATTCAAGACATGGTATTATGCGGGTGGATGATTTAATTTGCTGAATAAGCAAAAAAAGTGTGTATTACGTTATTATGTATTTGCTAGTGTATGTAAGGACCTCAGTCATGTGTTTACTAAACACTATAAACTTCTCTACTGTTTGCCTTTCTCTGAGTGATAATATGATTTAGTCTACTGTTTTATAATTAACTTCATAAAATTGCACTGACAATTTGATTGTTAATGTGGCCTAATCCAGGCTTCCTTACTGGGATGAAGCCCTTCAAGTCAGCAGAGTTTAGTTTGAGGAACTTTGTTAAATAAAGCAGGATGGCTGTGTGTGCTGTATGCATCTATAGTAACAACATTTGGTGTAGAGACTTCTGTAATGAAAGAAAATGACCTTAGTTTTCAATGCTATTTTGCATACTTAGTCCTTTCCTCTTTGTTCAAGTGCATAAAGACAGTATCACAGACTGCCTGGCCATGGAGATTTCTCTTTTAAAGCTCTCCACAAAGTCTTCTTGCCATCAACTCAGTCATGACCTGTACTCTGCAGCAGGGTGGCATGTAATTAAAAATGTCCCAAGGAGAAACAAATATGTTTTGTTTGGTATTTACTCTTTTCCCAGCCTGTTTTCACTTGGCTGTGCTGCCTGGAATTGTCCTGCTCCACAGAGTAGAGCTGAAAATACAATACACTAAATACAAATGCATTGTATGTTTCCTTGGTGTCTGCATTCAGTCACTTTTCAATGATAACAATGTATATGAATATAACAGAGTGCTCTCCCTTACTCCTCCTTTCATTAAATTAAGCTGCTAAAGTATTACAAGACAGAGTGCAATGTCTGTAAAGCAAACCACACAGCAGAGGAAATGCCTAACACATTGTTTTCCCTCTCGTTAGCTCTTGTGTCCATCTGGAATAAGGAGCATGCAACTTATCCTGGCCTGTCAGGTTATTCAGAAAAATGCTCTTTTGGCAGCTGTTCAGCAAGCCTCCTTCTGTTACTCGGTCCAGCCTCCCCATACCCTGGACATAAAGGTTAGAAGCATCTTCTTCCTCACATTGCACTAGTTGTGAGTTTTGTCAGTCTTAGCCCAAAGAGGGTATCTGTTAATTCTGCTTATAATCAATTGGATGGTAGATGCTTGGAACAGCATCACTGATGACTGCAGGAACTGCAGTGATTGTGTATTAGCATACGATGTAAAAATAAATGGTGTCACATCGGTGATTTATTTAAAGTCTATTAGCTGGGAAAGTGATGAAGCATAGCTAAAAATATTCCTCAAGAGAGGAATGAAGGAGGTTGGAGATGAATTGGATTCAAAAGGCACAGGTGAAATCTCATAGCCTGTGGTATGCAATAAGGCTAGTGATCACAACCTGACCTTGAAATATGCATTCTTCTGGGATGGCAAAGCCATCAGTTCCTGCTGCTTTCATTTGCCCTGTCTTCTGAAAACAGAAGTATAGTCAACATTATTTCCAATGGGAAACATTTATGTCAGCCTGACGCCATAATGTTGGTTCAAAAGCTACCTGCCAGGGTCACCAAGTCATTACTGTTCCCCATCTTATATTTGGCTTTTTTTAAATTTTCATCCTGTGTTTAGTGTATAGTGCTTAGGAGCTGCCCTTGTGTTATACAAGCTAAATCATTGTAGAGGTCTGTGTTGCATTTTCTCACACAGCTGTTGTGTCTCTTCCAGAGACAGCTGCGTTACAGCAATAAGCTAAGTGACTTCAAAAGCAATTTTTAATTTATAAGCAAATAGAGATTCTTTAGGACTTGTCTTGCCCTCTCTATGCTCATATGGACATCTCTTTCCACGTTCCTTAGGACACCCCATCAATCCCCCCTCAGCTCTATCTTTGTCCCCTATGCTTCCTGTGCTTAGCCCCTTGCCACCAGGCAGTGTTCTCAGCTCATTCCCTTGCATGTGAAGTGCCCGCGTTTTGCTGTTGAGCCAGGCAAGAAGTACTTTGTTTGGCAGCAGGTCTGTGGCCGTGCACGTGCTGACTGCCCTGGCTGTCATGCTGGGAGCCCAGCTGGCCACTGCCTCATGGGAGCTGAGCAAGCCAAGGAAAAGGGCCAGGGATCAAACTCTCCTTGCCTTTTCCCTGAGCAAAGCCTTCTCCTCGCTAGCTGAATGCTGATTTTGCAAAACTGGAAGGAGCTTTATACCTCTGAGACCTCTGCTCTTCGGTCAAATATATTTAAAATGAGTCAGAGAGTTCAAATGTTTGGTTGAACCAGCTAAGGGAATGACGCTAAAACATTTCCTGTGTGACACCAGTTTCTTTCTGAGTTTAAAAATGAAAAATAGATGTTATTATGACTCCCTGTTGTCTCATTTTGGGTCACTCAGAGCTGCAGTGTCGGGAGGGGAGGGAAAGACATCTCATGCAGCTGTGACTTGCAATCTTCTGAGTATGAATTGCTGTTCCTAGAGCAGTGTCCTATATACTTTCTTTCCTTACACCAGAGATGAATGAAGGGAGCTCCTACGGCCAACACTCACCCCAGAGACTGTCAGCTGCACCAGAGCAAACTTGTTTCACCACTGCATGGTTTCTACCTTGTTCCAACACAAGCAGGATACCAATTCTGCACCATACAGCTGAGATCCATTGGCCCAAACAAACTGATATCCTGATGGCCCACCAGAAAAAAGCTTAGTGTCGTGTGGTCAGAGATGCCTACTTGCTGCCGAGCAGGAACCCTTTGCACCACTGATCTCGTGCAACTTTTGGCAGCACATGGGCTGTGTCCGAGGGAGCTGCTGCAGTCTGCAGCCACTTGATGGACACTCAGGTGTTGGCAGCTGGACAGCCAGCTCTGCAGCCTCCCAGGGCTGGCCACGGTCTAGTTTGTTCCAGAGGCTGATTTGCATTCCCTCTCACAGAGAAGTCTAAGATTCCTCATCTCATTTCTAATCAGATCCTGCAGCACTGAAACCCTCAGTGGAACTGAGCAACCGTGGTTTCATTCCCAAATCGATCTTCTGCACTGCTGTACAAAGCACTGCTGTTGTGTGTGTCTGCTGATAACCATGGGCTTTACTCTGGAAATAGCTCTTCATTCTCCAGTCAAGAAGGATTGATCTTCCAAACATTTGGCGCTCTTTTACTGTCTAAATGCTGGATGGTCTCTCTTCCACAGAATGGAATGGGCTGTATTTTTCATCTTCAGATGTCTCCTCTCCTCTGTAAATAATTTAATGGCTGCTGCATCCATTCTGGATCAGTCTTTGCTGATTTACAGTCACTGGATATTAACTAACTAATCAAACTCACACACAGAGGACAATTAACACAACCAACGGAGGCAATGATAAGAAGGTCATGTATCTGTTATTCCAGATTAACATGTAAAACTGAAAAAAATCTTGTATAACCTCCTTACATAGGTAGGGGAGATGGTGGCAGGATGTCACAGGCTGTGTCTGCACTGAGGGACCCACCAGTGCTGTGGATGGTACGGTTTACCACCCGACACAGGCCAAAGCCCATGCCATCTTCCTCCAGCCCATGTGAAGGAGAGCTGTTTGCATGATGCTGAAGGATTTTGATCTTTTCCTTTTCCACTACACACAAAAGACAACAGCTCTCCTTGATTTGCAGAGGAATTGGTGTGCTTTTTTAGCTCGCCTGGACTTCAAAGTGCCTGTGCCACTTTTGAAATACGACTTCAAGAGCTTGGAAAAGTACCACTTGTTCCTACTTGAAAATTAGGATTATTTTTATATACATATGCAGAAATTTCTGAGATTTCTTCATAGCAGAAGCCACTGGGACTTAAATAGGTGGTGTGGGGTGATGAGTATAGTTTTTTGTGTTCATGGGGAGCCAAACTGATTTTTCCAGACAAGTGATCTAGATACACAATAATTTTTACATATTTGAAAATGTGAATATCTGCAAATATTCATATTTTATTTGCAGCTGACTGAACATTGAAATGTTGTCTGACTTATAAATTGGGTACTGCCTCTGACTCTGCAGCAGCTACGGTTTCATTATGCCTGTGCTCAACGACAAATTTTTTTTTCTGTGACTTGTAATGATTCCAGTGAGTGATTATATCATAAAGCTAGGGTAAATGAAAGCATACAGAATTGCAAATCTGCATTGATTTAGTAGGAAGAGCTACCAGCCTTTATGAGAGCAAGCACAGAATTGATATTCATGATATTTTAGGAAGGAAATGCAAGTCAAACAAGTTGGAGCAATTCAGCAAGTGGAGGAAACTTCGTGTCTGGGAGTGAAATGGAGCAGCTGCTGCAAGCAACCACACTGGCCACTTCATTTTCTCCCAAGCACTCCCCAGGTTTACTTTGTACCAGTAAAAGCTATTTGTTATAGACCTTACCCTCCACTGGGTAGGGGTTAGTCTGGTACACGTGTGAATCCCAAGCTCTACCTGCTTTACGTTGCCCTGGTCCTCTGCTGTGACAAAACATAGCCATGGACTCTCGATGGTAAGGGCATGTTCCCAGATGCCCTGGTTCTTGGTGTGAATTGGAAGTCTGAGGGTGGTCAAATCCCATGGAGATAACCTGTTATTTAAGGGAAGAAATCCACGCATCTTGTAGGGGTTTCTAAACATCAGTGAGCTTACAGTTGAAAACATTGCAAAATTATGAGAAATAAAAAGTGAGACAGGATACAGCCATTAAATATGATTTTGTTGCTCCTGTAGAACAGAGCTCGGTCTTGCTGCTCAGATGCCCACTTACTAGTTCCTTGGCCTAGTTTCCTGGCTTTTACATGGAATACTGTGTACTAACAGGGTACTGTGTACTAACAGGGTACTGTGTACTAACAGGGTACTGGCAAGGCCCAGTTAGAGCAAATTTTTATATTACTCAGTGCTAGTCAGCTGGAAGTTGTGCACTGAAAACTGTGTTAATTGAACAACACTTGGTTTGAAGGTATAAATAGGGCAGCATTCAACATGTCCAGCTTGGCCCAGGCAGCATCACGGTTCCTGTTACTGCCGTGATGCCAGTACAAGTTGGTACAATATTTTTTTTGCAACTATTTCTTTCACCCTTTATTTCTCTTGCACTGAAATTAAAAATACATGGAGTGGAAGACTGTCCCTGGAGCTCATCTCATCTCTGGTAGCTGATCCACAAGATCCAGTGTATTTGTACCTGTTACATGTAAGCAATGAGTAAACTGAATGTTGTTGCAGAAGCTGTGTCTAATCTAGAGAAGTTATTTGAGTGGTTCATAAGGCAGTTATCAGTTTACCTTTTGAGAGGTGATTCTTCTCAGCTCCCATGTTTTTTTCCCTTCATCAGGCCTTCAGAAGCTTTCATTTCTACTCAGCTGGAGAAATTTGGGCCCTGAGATACAATGCTGAGCACTTTTGCTCAAAAGAGAGAAGCACTGGACAGCAGACTGCAAACCCTTGTAAGTACATCAGGAGGCTCCTCAGCATTTTTGAGAGGGGCTGCTGGGTTTTGGCACATAGGTAAAGTAGTCGCTTGGAGTAGCATTGTACTTACTCTGCAGTTACTTTAGGGAGAAAGGTGTGGAAACCTTGCCAGAGGGAAGGAGGCTTGGACATGGCCAGGGTGTGCAGGTCACGGGGCTGCAGATGGTGGCCTGGCTCCACCAGCAGTGGTAGAAGAACCTTCTTCCACTGCGCCACCTCCCATGGACATGGCTGGAAGGTTTGTGATGGACGGGTGCATGGTAAACAGCAGCAGTCTGCAGACATGCGGCTAATTGAAGGTTAAGGATGCTAACAGGCTCCCAAATGCTCCTAAACTATTTCCAGCCCAGGTAAGGAGGGGAATTCTTGCTGTAGTTACTCTATTAGGTGCAGAACTATTTTGGGCTTTTATGTATGAAGCATCCAACAGTAGTTCTAGCTACAGACGGATGCTACGGGAGGAAGGTTCTTTTAATAAATATTTCTGGCAGTTTTGTTTTATTTTTTTAACTTTACAAGAAGATCAAAGAGTCATAAAAAGTAATAATTGTAAACATTCCATGATGGGTATAGATTTTGCCTTCTGCAAAAT